ACTGGCGTGGCATTAAAGAGACGCTGTTGGACGAGTATTATTTTTTGCATTAGTTGAAAATACTTAATAGACACGAGATCTGTTCCTATCAGGATTTGATCACTGATGTTCGCAGGACGCGTCTGGTGCAGTGGTTAGGGGCCACTGTAAAATATACACTTGATCGATCACCCGTTCGATCTCGCATCCCGAGCGCGGGAAATCTTCGAACACTCCGCGCTCAGCGATTTGATACCAGACTTATCTGGAAGGATAAGAGGTATTGACTTGATATATCGGTTGGCCACCGCAAGTTTTTGCATGAGCTAGGTTTGCATTCGTTAACCTCTACGGTGATATGCATAGTATGGAGTGCATGTCGATTCGCTTAGGGATTGATCGTCGTCGAACGCTTTATTATTTTACTGTTTTCTTAATGAGAAAACACGGCATTGTTATTACAGTACTTCTCCACTCACAATAGCTGATGTGTCGGCAATTTCCCGTTTTTAAGGGCCCGAGCAGTTCAAGTTGACATGCGCTCTACTCGCTCAAACAGTTTCATAACTTCAGCAGATAAAATTCAATACGTGAATTCCTGTCGGCATAGTAAACAGCTTTTTTAAACACTCACTGCTTTACTATTTTAAACCGACTTTCATTTAACCTCGGAATGAATGACCAGTGCACCTAGTTTCAGCGCTAAGTTAACACGAAGTTGTTATCCAACATTCATTAGGCCATCAATTCGAAGTCTTTGGCTTGCTCAGGACCGACGATCCGAGTCGATGGTCCACATTCATTTGTACTCTCGATGTGGTGATGTCTTCATCATCATACCTAGGGTAATCTTCTTCATCAGAATCTAACATGGGTGAGGAATGTGCTTGTATCAGGTGAGAAAATCAGTCTCAGATATGGCGCGTGGTCATGGGTGATCACAAGGCACTACATTTTGTGGTTCATTTTTGGATATCTCGGAACTTTTCCAGAGTGCTTCAACAGTTTTACGCACTAAGCGTGTTAGAGTGTTTGGATGGCATTTCAACCACTGGCACCGTATTTTCTAGACCGGGCATTTTAAGCAACGTTTCATAGTTGCACTTATTTCGTTGGAAATGAACGCCAAGATAAATGGAATCTTATTCTAGTTAGAATTATCCTTTGGGCGCATGATTTTCTAAACATATCCTGGGCGGCTACCGTTTCGTAGCCACTGGAAATGGCTATTTCCTGGGCCAAACTCAGGGATTCCTCCTCTCTAGTTGTTCACACATTGACGGCTATTCGAAACATTTTTCTCACAAGCGCCTTTTTTGTGTGTGAAGCGTGAGAAGAGTGCTAGCGAACCGTTAAGTTTTTACCTTTTTATTTTCTGCCTACTATAATTTCGCGGCAGAGTACTAAGCGAAATACAACCACAACGTTGCTGAGATATTTGCAAAACTCTGGACCGCAGGTGTCTATGGTGGGGAACGAACGCGCTGTTGTCTTTTCCGGGGAGTAACGCGTTCACCACCACACCATGCGGGTCTTTCGTTTCGCCTGTCTCTCAGCTATTTCATTTCAGCTAATAGCGCGTTCGTTCCCCACCATAGACATCTGCGGTCCAGAGTTTTGCAAATATCTCAGCAACGTTATCGTTAAGTTTTTGTTGCCTAGATTTCTTTTCTTCGGTTCTTTTCGGGTGGAATTTATGTACTCTGACTAGTGGTTTTGCAATTCAAACCATTTGTCCATCTCTTTTTACGTGAAGCAGATGACAAAACAGTCATCAGTCATCTGTATGTCTACAGTAGAGTAATGGCTAGAGATCGATTACTGGAGGTCCCACCTTAGACATAGAGGCAATGGCAAGCCTTGGTGCCAGTCGCCGTCCCTTTACCAAGTGTCTCATTTATGCGAAATAGTTCTCGGACCATTTGAAGAAAGAGCAGTTTGGGCACTCCTTTAAGAGGGTCGTGAGCTGCTGAATCGAGAAGCCATAGATGTTCGTTCACTGCTCCTTCGCATTGTAGAAGAAGTTCCAAGATGGCTTGCATTGCGTAGTCGTTAGAGACGCTGGTGTAAAGGGCTGTAACGTCAAAGTGCTCCATCACATTCGCGCTATTAGGACGCAATTTACGTAGACAACCAACTAACGTTGGGTATTTATGAGATGGGCTGGGACGTATTTCAGCAACTGGATGAAAATTTGGTTTATAAACCAAAGGTTCTATCTGTGGTCTCGTCTACACCGTTGATAATGGGTCTGACCTTCAACGTAGAAGGGTCGTTAGAGGCAAGGTCATCATGTGCTAAGTTATGAGTTTCAACAAATAGAAGACCTGTCATGTTGGTAATTCAGTCTTAAATTGCGTAATAACTGATGGTTTTACAGCTGCCACGCTTGTCAGTTCGACCCATTCGCTGTTCAGTTTTCGATATTGACCTTTCAATCACTTCTCAGATGATAGGTGGTAAAGGGAGACGTCGTCAAGATGTTTTTCTCTTCCTCTTTTTATGCTCTGCTTAATACTTAGTTTTATGGCAGCAGCTGTAAATTAAGGAGATCAGTGAACAGTTAAGTCATCAGTCAACACGTCACTGTTTTTGTCTGTTTTTTTCGTGTTTTCCGTTTGTGCTGTTGTATGGTTACGGTATAATTGATGGTGTTATTGTTAGGATTCTAGCAAATTTCATTTTCATATAGTTCGACGACAGCCGTTCACCTCGCTGAGGTTTCGGTTACTCAAACTGGTAAGGACATTCTGATCAGTAGTCTCGTCCCGTTGTCGAATTCTAAGCTTGGAGCTTGACCTCGTGTTCTACTTTTTCCGAGGTTCTTCCTGAAAGCTCTTTGAAACTCTGAAGTTCTTTTTTTCGGAAATCGATTGAAGTAAGCGCAAATGGGTCTTCGTATATCATTCGATCTCCTTGTTTTAAGTGGATGATTTGAAGAATTGAATAGGTATTCCTTCTACTTTTCCTAAGCTGCCGGCTTATTTCTTTTATTCCTAACAACCATGCGTTCCCGTCCAGAAAGTCTACGAGCGAAACGCTCTTCTCAGTCAGACATTCTCATCTAGTTCCTGCATTTAATGGGTCATAACTATTTTGATCGTCTTGCATAATACGTTTTTCAACAGGAAGTTCTTTTTGAACAGTTGAATCGTTGACGATTTTATATCAGCGCTTTGAAAATTGCGTTAGTTTCCGTTGCCATGATTTTGTGTTAATTTCCGTATTTCCTTACACTTATGCTTTCAGGAAATGCCGATCGAACAAGATATTCTTGGGAAATGGTCGTTTGTCTCTTCGGAGAACTTCGATGCCTATTTGAAGGAGGTTTGTGCGCTTTCTATTTTACAGGGTCAACAATATCGACGGCTTGAGGCGCCCTGCATCACGCAGACACGTGGAATCCCCGCCTCCATGGCCCACCAAGCCTTCCATGCCTCCTGGGGCGGTAAATTGGTACCAGACTTGTTCGGGAGGATAGCAGCACTAGCTCGATACATCGGTAGGCTACCGCGTGTCATTGTAAAAGACCAGACATGCATTCAATCACCTCCAAACGATGCTTAGTGAAGTGGAATGCATGGCGCATCCCTCAGGGATTGATCAACGCCGAGAGCTTTATCTTTTATAGAGCTTTAACAATATCGAGTACGGAATTTGATCGCTATTCTTTATTTTTTTTGTTGTACCATTGGTTGGTAAATACATTACGTAAACTAGTACAGTTTTATCGGCTGTGGTCCGAGATGTCGCGGAAGAAACAACAACGCCGTTTTTGTCAGTTTATCAGGAATACAAGGACATGATGATCAGTGCCGAGGAATTTCCGGGAAATGTCCGTCCTGATAGCTTCATCCGTACTTCCGTTACGATTTAAACTGAGCTTTGATCTACCGAAGGAATTTTTGAAATGACTTAGTGATTATCTTATAATTTTACTGGTTATTAAAACTGTTATTGTTAATAAGAGGTAAGAGATTACGGTCGCACAACTGTATAATCCATCGCACACGTTATCTTCCTATAGACATAATTTGAATCCCGTATGTGATTTCAAAACCCGACTTCCCTTTAATTTCGTTGTGATTTATCAACACGTGTTGAAACTGTGGAGCTTACATATAACTTTTATTCAGCTGACGTTTCAACGTTTTCATCTTCATGAGAGCCGGTGATCCCACTCATCCGATCCGATGATGTGGAGCATCGACTCGGATCATCGGCTCTGATGAAGACGAAGACGTCGAAACGTTAGCCGAATAAAAGTTGTACTCCTGCGTGATTTTTGAATATGAAATTTGGGAGTTTGCTAAGAGATTTTGCCGAATCAGTTCAAGAGGTTTTCGTCGTTACGAATGGATTCTTCTTAAATTGTAAAACAAATAGGTCAGTGGCGATGAATTGTGACAAAAGTATGAACAAATGTTTAAAATGTGCAGTAGGTCGACCGACGTCTTCTTTTTTATTCGACGTAGTCAGTGCTCAACGATTTTCTTTTCCAAAAAAAATTAGCTGCGATACACACAGTTAGACAGCGATAGTGAACATTTGTTTTTTTCTATTTATTTAATTACCGGATTTGGCTTCTTATATTTTTCTCCAGCTGTCCATTAGTACGTGCAGTGAGAGGATTCCCAGTCATTCTGGAAGAATTCCGATCGGATCCCGGGACGCCAGACTGTTCTCTAACCTCTTCGGCCACTGTCCCCGTGTTCACGGGATTTTTGAAGCGAGATCATGCTTGGTCATCACTCAGCGTGTGATTGAGAAAATCCAGAGATCCTTAGAGCTGAGCTAACAATGGGCCCTGTGCTTGTCATTAGTCATCTTCATGGATAAAGGGTTGCACAAAAACGAAATGAATGGAAGGAGTACTAGAACCTGCACGACATGCAAATTGGGGTTCATCTAAGATGTAGCTGCTGTGCTAATCCCACCTTCTGAATTAAAATACAACCACTATAAAGTTTTCCTCTTTAGTTTTCGACATTTTCTGCTTATTTTAGGCTGGAGTTGGATTGATGACACGAAAAGTAGCAGCGAACTTAAAGCCCAACTTGGAATTCGTTCGTGAAGGTGACCATATCAAGATGACATCGATTTCTACGTTCAAGACTTACGTGTCAAAATTCAAGATCGGCGAGACCTTCGACGAGAAGACCGCAGACGGACGTGACGTTAGTTAATAGGGTTCATTTTCCGGAACTGGGATCATAGAGTAAAATAAACTGAGCGTGTAATTCCCAAAGCTACTTTTTCGACAATTTTTGAACACGATTAATGAAGTGCAATATGAGCAGAGAAATACTGGTTTCATATTGAGAGCATACACCATCTCCTTATCAAATGAACAAGATCATTATAAGGTGTTATATGCTAGATACTTCTATTACTGAGGAGTATGAGCATATGGCCGCGTGTAGCGCAGTGGTCAGATACGCCCACACCTGGAATCGATTCCCGTGCCCATGGTCCACCAAGCCTTCAATCCTTACGGGGTCGGAAAGTTGTTACCAGACTTGTCTAAGGGGAAAGTAGCAATGGCTCGATATATCGGTAGGCCACCGTGAGTTATTGTAAAGGCCAGATATGCATTCAATCACCTTCAAACGGTGCTTAATGAAGTAGAGTGCATGGCTAATCCCTCAGGGATTGATCAACGCTCAGAGAGCTTTATCATCTTTTTAATTTTTTTATGAAGTGTTTGAGAGAGTCATGAAATCGAATTAGCGCAATGTGTTGCTTTGGACGCCGATTTCAGATGTTCTCTGACGACTTCTTTCTTTCTAAACTTTGTTCCTTTATGGGTCTTGGAATACTTCGGGATGTTCTGTCTTTAGAGAAAGCACATGAACCTTCCGTGGGCATTAAATTTCATAGTGCATACGTTAGGATATCAACAAGAGGTTAACGAGGACTGATACGTGCGTGTATTCCTTAAGCGGAACTGTCCAGCAGTCGTTTCTTTCTTGTTGTTGACTATTTACCTTCCGCGCGTGGTTACCTTATCAGTGACCTTGATAGATAACCATGGGCTAAAACAGATAGGTTATCATGGACAGAAGGATCAATTTATGTGTCAATAATTTTTCGATTTCTCTAGGTCAGCCAGACGTACACAATAGAGAATGATCATCTTATTCTTACTGAGAAGGGTAAGAACGGCTGTGCAGATTCGCGTGTCGAACGTTATATCGAGGATGGCAAGCTGTATATTGTAAGTCCATTTTGGTATCCTTAATACTTCACAAAAAAAGAACTGCACAAGAAAACAGCGACACCAAAAAAATTATGAGGCAGGTGACGAGAAGAGGAGAATAGCTGTTTCCGATTGTGCTGAGACTGAATATTTTTTCTAGAAATCTTTGTTCCAATCAACAGGTCTCGTCATTTTTAGGTTTGCGAATGCAATGGAGTGAAGAGCACAAGAATTTATGAGCGAATGAAGGAATGATGAGATTACTATTTTGTGTTCCTTGGCTTTCTTGCGCTAACTATTTGCTTAAATAAATAAGTAATTTTGTATTCTGTAAGGTATTTGTCAAAAGCAAACGTCAAAGGTACTCCTTGCGGAAGGTAAACGACTTAGTCATTTAAAATAATGAGGTTTAGGAAAGTTTGTTTAAACAATCGAACAAGTAGCAGACACCATGTGAACACATTTAGGCGTTCACCCGAATGACAGCGTTCAACGTTGTTCCAATGAAGTGAGGTCTAAGAGGCATACGTGTTCCATGTAAATGATTGACTGATTGATGGTGTTGGCTCAAATTCTCGCTATTTCCACGATCGATTTCGATAAAGCTTTCATCCTCAAACATGCAGCCAGATTATCTCCAGGCTCATGGCGTTTCTGGAAGAGTAGCACTTGCAAGCTGGTGTGCCATTCTCCGGCTCGCAATAGCAGACGACTACTTGTGGTAAAGACTCGTATGCACTTTCGCCGGAACGACAGATCTTAGGCCCACTTTGGGCGTGAACTTACCACCTTAACGGATCACGTTTTGGAGACCACAATACGAATGGGAATAAGTGATGGAGCCCTTGCAACATATGAAGACAGTTTACACCTAAGAATTAGTTTGACAGCTTATTGGGATTTATCCTGTTTTTTTTATGGCGACTTAGATAATGGTGAGAGTACTTCGGAGCATCCAAAGAACTCTAGGAAAGTTGGATTCTTTTTAAAAATGAACCACTGAACTAACGAGGCATTAATAATTTGCTGAGGTAAGCCTCCTACGTTCGACTCCATTCGTAGCGTCGTAGAGGTAGTTGTATTCAAATCTATACAGTGAGGTGTGGTAGTTAACCGATATATGAAGAAAAGCCACCTAAGAGAAAGACGAATCGAGGGGCCCTCATAGTGTAGTGGTGAACACGTTAGCCCCCGGGAAGCGTGATAGCGTGTTTAATACAGGCACCTGCCCACCGTTTTGCAAATATCTCAGCATCATTGTGGCTGTATCACACATAATACCCTGCCGTGAAAATTGCAACAGGCAGTAAGTAGATGTTAGCATTAAGAAGTCAGTGTTTTTATCCTCACTGACTAGTCCCAGTTTAGCAACGCTGCAGGGATGGAAGACTTGGTGAGCCCGGAACATGGGATCGAATCAAACAGCAGGCATATATTTTAAGGGAGATCTGGCCCATGCGCTAAACGAATCTTGCTGAACGGGTTGCCGTTGCAGAATTGGCTATTCTATTGTTTTTGTTGATGCGGAAGTGCTTAAAATGTGTGTTGGTGCATTTGATTGAGAACGAAGAATGACAGGACATCAATCATTCGTGAAAGGTAAAGGGCAAGTCGTTCGGCGTTAATCAATCCTTGAGGGATACGCCATTCCTACGACATCATTAGGTACCGTTAGAACTGACTGTATGAGTAACTGGCCTATACAATGGCTTGCGGTGTACTAGTGACGTATCAGGTCTTCTGCTATCCTACTAGGCAAGTCTGGTAACAATTTGGCAACCCTGTACGGATGACCAAGGTCCACATATGCATTATGGGGACCTCTAACAGCATTACACGCGCTGTTACCAAAACGTCATAATCTAAGGAGTATCTGTCAAAAGGTAATTAGAGTCATGGCCGTACTAATGAAAGTTTTCGGGATCATTTTCCTGAAATTAGTGTTTGTTTGTTTCAATTTTCGAATGAGCTTTTGTCTTTCAATTAAAAGTGGGATCAAATAAAAATTTACTTTTCAGCACTCAACAAGAAATCATAACATAGAAGTAAATCATGATAAGGACGGTCGGCAGTAATATATCATCTCTTACAAGTAATGGATGCAATGGTGGTATTGATGAGGAAGAAGTTGCCCGTAATTCAACAAAATCTCTGCTAATCATCTTAGAACGGAGGGAGGGAACACGATCGAGCCATTTTTGTTGAGAAGTGGGCAGAATAACAAAAAATCAGTCTACAGTTTATAAAGATGTTGTAAAATAACAATGATTTTACAGTTTGAAATTATCAAAAACAGAACAGAATATGCTATGCTAGTAGGCTATACAAAACACGGAATTATTCCACAAGAGTCTTAAGCTTGTCAATGCTACTAGAATTTAACTCTGAATTAGAGATATTCCGCGTCACAGTGTCAAGTGGACATCTCTTGACGCTGAACTGCAACGTACAACATTAGGCTAATTCACCGAGGAAGACCACCCCAGTTAATAATGGGGTTTGAAACTTCATGAAGAAACCCCATTTATGAACAACCTTATATCAGCAAATCCTATCGTCCTAGAAAATCCTCAGTCGCAAGGCAGCAAACCCGTCTTCTCTCAACAATGGTCTGTGACTTCAAAACCAATGAAGGCACGACTTGAGGCCCTGGGGTAAAAATTTAGCTCAATAGGGCATGAATTCGCGAGAAAAATGTCTCGTCGAATTAGCAAAAGGACAGATGCAAATTGTGATAAGCCCTAGACGATTTCTTGTGGAGCTGGGTAAATTTAAGAGCCCAAGCAAGTTAGCTGCTAAGTGTTAACACTGTACGTTTATATGCGCTGGATATTTTTACACAAACACTCTAAATGATCAAGTCACTGGGTGATGAAAATAAGGACAAACTCCAAAAATCTGATGTAAATAAAATCATAGGTGCGACGACAGCGGTTGAAGAAGAGTTTGTAAACATTCACCGAAAAATCTTCTTTGCTCAACAAGGCTTAACAGCTAAGATTAAAAGTTTTAAACAACATCTTCGTCGATGAATTTAAGAGAACTGAGACTGGCACCGAACGCCTGCGTCGGTTTCCTAATGTCGTCAGTTCGACGAGGTTTTCTAAAAATGAGAAACAACACCACAATCATCAGCAGAATACTCAATAAAACCACACAGGCGGTGATAAGTTGGGGATACATGGAAGGTTCAGAATCCTGAAAAATATCTCTCGATTATCATAAAGAAGTGTGCCATAGATTTTCATGTTTTCTATTGCACTTTGTACAATGCTATATCTGACTTATGAATTTCCTAACTTTTATTCATAAATGGGTGCGCAGTGGCTACAGATAGTGTGCAATAGTACAGGCATGATTGCTGACCCAACCCCACCACACGCAAATAAAGTCTCCCATCATTTCAGATTCTTCATGTAGGAACCAGACTTCATGGGAAAGAACTCTGTCCGATCCACAAAAGCCGGTGACTAGTTTTCGAGCATAGAAATGCTCTAGAGGTAAACCAGGGTTCCAGGCATTCAGAAACAAAGCAGTTCGATCAGAATTCCAAAGCTATTCATGAACGAGACAAAATAATTAGTTTGCAGCCGAACGAACATTCAATTCAGAAGAACATTAGTGCGACCGTGCGATACAATGAAACGACTGAAAGTACCGGGATCCGCAAAATATGTAAAGTCGGATAACACAAATAAATCAGTCAGTGAAAAAACAAGTAAATTTTCGAGTTGAATGGATGTATGATCGAAAGAGACACTCATAGGATCACACACTACCCATCTCATTGAGCGGCGAATGGTTTATCTGACACAGAATTGCTCATTGCGTCAAAAAAAAAATTGGGCGATGCACCAACTAACCTGACGGTTAGACTATGTTTTCACCTACAGACCGAGTTCATAGTCATAGAATTACTGGATTCCAAACTGGGGTACATGAAGAGCTAAATGGAGGATATGCGATTGTTGTGAAATGCATCCTTCCTCAATTTTTTCAGGCCGTGTATAGTTCGGTGGATAGAGGTAATCTACAATCCACACCTGATCTCTGGTCGAACCCCGCACCACGGGCGAGCGAAGCCCTCCACTCATATGGAGATGGCAAACTAATTCCACACTTGTTTAAAAGCACAAAAGTACTGTCTCGATACATTTGTACTTGATACTTAATACTTGAATGGCCCGCCCTCAATGGTTGTGCGAACCCCAGAATAACCTCTGTTTTTCGGAGAATTGCGGGTTTAGCCATTGTGGTTCCCTGGAGTTCCGAAGTCAGCCTAACCCCATGTCGTCACCACCGCAGGCAGTTGCCGCCCATGTGGATCAGAGGGAGATTTGCCAAAATGCGACACATCAGACACCAGGACAGTGGTGAATCCTGGCATCGGTTTACTATTAGTTGAGCTTCTTGATGGAAACTCCGGTCTTCTTCTCAGCGCGGGAGGCCCTGCCAGGAAGATGAACCCACCCGCTGTACATGGGAGCCCGACGCCCAGGAACACCTCCGAGCCACGATGAGGTGGTAAACTGTTGGGAGGCGATACATTTATATGCTACCGAAAGTTTTGTTAGGCGAGATATGCATTTATTAACTTCTACGACGCAACGAATGAAATCTAAACCAAGGCGCATCGCAAAGGGAAGCGACCACATGCAGTACAAAGTGACTGAACACCATACTATATGAAGTTTTGTTGAGCAGAACGTCTAACACGCCTCAGCGAGCAAATTTCTTTGTAGTTGTACTACTACCGAAACTTTTAATTCTTATCTTCTTCTACAACAGAGTTTATAAAGCAAGCTAATAACAGTAATTTTTTACCTTTAGGGGATTCCAGATGCAGAGTCCACTATTGGTGAGGGTACGAAAGAATGGACATCTAAAATCTGGGCAAAGTAACGGTGACGCTAAAGGGCGATATTCGCGTAGCCTGAAAATTGCTCTGGATAAGAATGACAATAAGAAATCCAATTTTCCTAAACGAGGTTTCTTAGTGATCGTCTGTCAGTTTTTTCTAGAACATTTTCCTCTTCATACGAAGTGTCCTTGGTTAAGCGAGTACAAGATTGGTACCTCCTCTTTTCCAAATACGATGGGTGAAATTTCGGCGATTTCGCCTTTTTCACAGTCTGACGTGATATATCATAGCATATCTTATTATTTGGTTGATATTTTTTAATAAAAATAAATACTTAATTCAAAAACTAAGCCAGAAATCTGCCCATTAAGGAAAGCCCACCTTTTTACTCTTTGTATGGAGTATGGTCACCTGTGTGTTCTTCACACAATGTGAGCAATGAACCTTATTCAGATCAGAAAATCAATCTGAGATAACACGCTTTATCTTTTCCAGACCGATACTTTTTAGGCACCTCTTAATAGCAGTGCTTACTCTGTTTTATATGAAGAGCAGCTTTAAGGTGACCTTCCTATTTGACTTCGGGATAGAATCGCTTCGGTTATAGTGCCTAGCTCTACTTTTTGAACTGACTTCAGAAGTCGTCGGCATTTGAGACAATACTTGTCGTGGCAAGCGTGGTGATCCCCTCCTCTACTCCTCCCTGCAGACGCTTGTAGCTGTTCAGTGCATATTTCAAACCGTGGTTTTTCGTGTATGGGGAATGAGAAGGTAGGTAGTGAACCAGTATGCTATTATTCTTGGTTTTTGATACCATTTTGTAATGGAGCCAATTTCGAAAGGTGTATTTGAACGTTTAAGGACAGGAAATGGCTTTCCTTAGGTTTCTCTGCTATGAGCTTTATATACTGTGACTGCTTATTAAATAACTCAAAAAATTTATTAGTTTTCTCTTATGTAGAGCAGAAAACAAAAAATCATTTATGTATCGACAGTACAATTAGGAGCAGCGATTGAGAACTGGGGTTTCCACCTCGGACGGAAAGTTAATGGCAATGCTCTGTGCCAAACGTTGCCTCGCTAAAAAACCGTTGATTTGCGCATTTTATCTTATGGGCCACCAACAGATCAAACATCTAGGGCACTCTTTTAGGAAAGTCATAAACTGTTGAATCGAAAAGACTTTGATATTTTTTCTCGTCTTCTACTAAAAGGTCGCGAAAGGTTTGTATTGCCATGTTGTTCGAAACGTTTAAGTAGAGTGCGTTAACATCGAATGGCTCCATTACACATGAGCGTTTTAGATGTGCACGATTTTTATCTTCTAGAAAGACTTTAGTGCTAAAGAGTTGGGCCATTACGAAGTTGAGCAGCTGCGTGAGGATGAGGCTTGGGAACCATGTCAGCTTCTTTCTCGTTGCGATTACGCAGCCGAGGATTTGTTTAAGCTTGAATGTTAATGGACCGGCAGACACAAGATCAACAATGAAGGTGAGTTTGGGTGTTTTAATAAGTGAGAACGACACATAATCGGCAAATAATTTTTAATTTGTCAGATAACTGATGGTTCTTAACAAGCCGCCCTTGCCCTTTTGACCCACACTCTGTTTAACTTTCGCTAGCGGTCTTTATATTCCTTTTCGGAGGACGACTGGGAACGAAGAAGAGCATTTCAAAGATGTTCTTCCGTTATTTCAGGATTCATTGACGAGAAACTACCACAATTTGTTTTTCTTCGTCGGTCGGGTGCTTTTCGAGTTTAACAACTTCTGAATCTGACGCACATCACGTTTCTGTTCATGTGCTAAATTTGAGCTGAATTTGTTTTTTCTGTCAGTGTTAATTAAATATATGGAGAACTTCGCCCGAAAATATGCGGAAACTAGAGTCAATGTCGCCATTAGGCTGCAGTTGCTTGATGATGAAAATGGCCTCCTTTTTTATTCCAACCCCTTCCCCCACCCCTCCAGCTCAAGTTTGGTTTTATAACGGAGTTAGTCCTGAGTTTAAATTGCATCTCATAGTGCGCAGGATTGTTTTAGAAATAGGTACAACGAGTGTAAAGTTTGGATCCAATTCTGAATGTGACTGTCTACCCCAGAATGGTCATGCCCCCTAATGCAGCAACTCTTTGTACTTTTGGAGTGTATTGTACCTCAAATTTCTCACTAAAGTCGGTGAATACGGTGTTTTCATGTTTTAGTCAGGTTTATTTCTACAGCGACAGTGGATTTTCGAATTTCCTTTTTGAAGTTTTTTTAAAATATTGTACCTAATACTGTTACAAATAGATAGGGGTCAAGCTACGACTTTTCTTCAGAAATTATCCTCCAAAGGGTGAGCACAGTGATATTCTTTGGATTTCCACTTTCTACCTGAGCAAACACTTCGTTCTGTGCGCTTCGCAAGGAAAAATGTAGCAACCGCATCTGGATGTTCAGTGTTCGACGGAAATTCTCCGGCATGTCGCATTGTTCGTGTAATTTCCTATTTTTGATGAAGCTAGGAATACCTTGATGTTTAAGGCAGCGGCAAAAAAAGCAGGTCTTTTTCCGAAGTAAGACGAGCGAAAAAAAGTTGATCAAACCTACACATTCCGCCATTCTTAAACGTTCAAGTGCACCTTTCCGGAAACTACATTACAAAATGGTATCGAAAGCCAAGTAATAAGAAAGCGCTGGTGCATTATCTCTCTTCTAATCCCTCGCACACGATAAAACCACGTGTTCGAAATGTGAACCGAACAAAAGCGTATGCACATGAAGTGAGGAGAGTAAAGAGTCAGTAGACCAAGTACGAAAAATAGCCATCTCAAATGTCAACGGCTACTGATGTTGGTTCAAAAGGGAAAGCTAGTCCTCATAATCGAAACAGTACTATCCCAAACTCAATGAGGAAGGTCCTTCTAATGCTGCCTTTCATATCAAACGAAATAAGCACCGCTATTAAGTGGTGTTTAAAAATCCCAGACTGGTTTGCTACCAATTTGCAGACCCTAGAATGAGGGAAGGCTTGCTGAACCCAAGACACAGCATCGAACCGACGACTTAGTATGTATGGCGTGTCTCTTCTAACACTGCCCTACACGATGCTTTTATTCGCAAGTTATTACTGATCATTCATGGCGAGGTTAAGTGAAAGTCGGTTTTCCAAACGTTTTGCTCTCCTGTTTACTCGCTTTTAAATACTAATTTTAATACTCACAACTGCAGAATTTTCTACTAAAGACAATGAAACGTCTAATCGTTGGTAAAGCATTTCTGTGCGTCTTAGATATTCAACTAAAGCCATTCAGACCAGAGTAAAAACTCTTCGTTTGATTAAGTTTGGGAGCAGAGCTAATTTTGGAGTTCATGGAGAAATTTGAAAGCCTTCGATCTTTGTTCTACTTCTTTTTGTCAATGGAGAATCCGTAAACGGCGGTGACGTTTCAGCGTGTCATGGTTTTTATTTTTTCAATAATTCTTTTGGATTTTGAATAATTCTTATTTGACTCCTTCTTTCCTTTCAAATGTCTTCTTCATCCCTAGCGCTGTAAGTGGTTAAGATATCCAAGAAATAGAACGCCCAAGTTCATTCTTACCTGTTGCTGTTTTTTATGAAGAAAGAGTTCCAGATCGCTGTATGCAGTAACGATAATCCTCTTTCAGAAAAATGAGCACAGTCATAACCGAGAACACTCAAGTCCATCCTGAACTTCATTTAAACCGTTTTGAATTTCAATGATGCTGAGATATTTGCAAAACACCGTACCGCAGGTGTCTGCGGTGGGGAGAACGCACTATTGCCCTTTCCGGGGGTAACGCGTTCACTACTACACCATGCGGGTCATTCGTTTTGCCTGTCTCTCAGCTAGTTCTATTGATTAGTGCCATCAGCAATCACAAGTCAGGGGGATTGATCTGAGGAGCCCAAATCGGCAATGAACCAAGTTAAGCTGAGGCTGTAGTTATAATCACAACTTATTATTTACTAACCCTTTTATTTACTGCCTTTTTCTTCTTAATGGCAGGGTATGTTGCGAAATATAACTTGTATGAAATGCTGAGATATTTGCAAAACTCCGGACCCCAGGTGTATGTAGTGGGGAACGAACTGTTGTCCTTACCGGGGAGCAGCGCACTTCACCACCATACCATCCGGGTCCTTCGTCTTGCCTGTCTCTCAGCTAGTTTTATCGATCTTTTGCAATCAGCAATCACCCATCGGCGGGATTGATCTGGAGGCCCAAATCGGCAACGAACCCAGTTAAGCTGAGGCTTAGTTATAATCACAATCTTAACCCTTTTATTTACTGCATTTTCTTTTTTTAATGGTAGGGTATGTTGCGAAATATAACTCGTATATAATGCTGAGATATTTGCAAAACACCGGACCGCAGGTGTATGCGGTGGGGAACGAATGCGCGCTATTGTCCTTACCGGGGANGCGAATTATAACTCGTATATAATGCTGAGATATTTGCAAAACACCGGACCGCAGGTGTATGCGGTGGGGAACGAATGCGCGCTATTGTCCTTACCGGGGAGTACCGCATTATATACGAGTTATATCTCAGCATCATTGAAGTTATATTTCACAATGTATACCCTGCCGTTAAAAAGAGTAGGCGATAAATAATAAGTTAAAATTGTGAAAATAAGTGAATAGATGAAGAAGTAAGTAAGAAAAAGGCAAACTGGCAAATTGACTGCTGATTAAAAAGAAAACCACTAACTCTTCTAGAAGAGTAGAAAGTGTCGATTCCCGTAGCAGCGGAAACACTTCCACAGTAAAATCTTGCTCACGGAAATTATTTTGGACGATGATTTCCATCTGTAAAGGTTTTCTTTAAGTATTTAAGTAAATCTAAAAAACAAAATGTAAAAAGAGACGAATAGAAGAAACCTGGTCCCACACGGAAATCGAATTATAACGACTATGCGACTTCCACTCGTTGAGTATCCTTTGACATGCCTAGTAAATGAAAACTAACTTTTAAAAATTGCAAGAAGATTTTCTAGAAAAAAGAGGAAAAAAAAGTTATAGAATTCTTTCTAATCTGTTTTTGTCACTATTTAGTTCACACCATTGTAATCACTGACGTAACCCTTTTATGCAGGTTACGTGACATGATAGCCACAGAAGTCTAGCGCAGGGCCTAGAGGTGTTCCGTACTATAAATGTGGTAATTAGTTCAATTCCAGGCCAAGCATAAACCAAGGTCGATATTGTTCCAGGGTTGAAAAAATGATTCCGGACATGTCTGAGATGAAACCACTTACTTTACACTTTCCTCGGCTCCTACACTCTTCTTGTCATTCCAGTGAGTGAATAACGTTGAGCAGCTTGTTTGTTTTTTTTGTTACCCACATGCGTTAAATGATGATCGACGAGATAACTTCTAACGCGTTAATTGATGACTGACGAGAATGACCCATAAAAATGTAAAACTTTCGGTGCTGATTAGTTCTTCAGCAATGAAGTATGCATTCGACTCCATTCATAGCGGTGGTGAACGAAGGCGTGTGAGACCAATGGAGATGAATGAATACATGTTTGCACTATACAAGTTGCAGTGGCTCGCCTGTCTATCAAGTCAATGTTACAATCCTTCCTGAAAATTTTGGTGCAAATTTGCCCACATCGGAGGAATGAATGGCATGACAAGCGAAGAACCGAACCGATGACCTCGTGTTAATTACAGGACGCCTCTAGCCACTGAGTTACACGTCTACGTATCGTAAGTCGCAGGGATAAATACATAAATCAGCAAAAATAAGTAAATGCAACCGTTCTATTTCAAGTTTCTTTCAACCTTGTTTGAATGGCTGGCATTCGACCAAATACCATCACCGGATGTTCGAATAACAACTATGAACGTTTTCAGCGTGAGAAGTCGGTGAAGTTCTTGGATAGCTCCAAGCACTTCAACAGCTGTTTGTCGTGATTCCGATGCTTGGCCATCCTGGAAAGATTTTTCATCCGAGAAAAGATCGTCTATCATTTTATAAGCATCGAATAACTTTTTACTCTTGTAAAAAATTTCGATGTAGTTCCACTGTAGTTTAATCGACTGATAGTGTTAAAAAGTGTTTTACTTAATGAAAAACAGCTGCGTAAATTTAGCTATGAAAATAAATCACTGGAATGCAACTGAAATTATACAACCAAGTATAATGGGGATTCCTCAGGGATAAAGCTTCATTTACCTAGGCAGAAAAAACTAGTTAGTTAACGGCTTCAATTATTTTCCAATTCCACTTTTCCGTTTTTCCTCACTCCTATCAGGAAATACCTGAATGGATGCCGCGATCACAATTAGCTTCCATATGTTTTCATATCCTTCCGTTTGCTGTATCTGAGACGCAACCGCTCTGAAAAGTTCAAACCCTACAAGAAGAAGGAAGTTTCTAAGAAAAAAAAGTCCACTGGAGCAATATAAATGAAGTTTTCTGTTTTCTGACCAGCTTTTCCTTAGTGGAAACGTGTCTATGGTGGTGGCCAGATGTGCGTTATAGCAAACACGTGGCCTCTGGTTCGATTACGTGCAATCTTTCTCTCATGATCATTTTTCTTTGTTGCACACTCATCAGAACTTTTCATCCAAATAACGTCCTTTCCTTCTCAGAAAAGATTGGGAGAGAGACAGAAAGAGAGAGAGAGAGACATAAAGACAGAGAGGAGGAGAGAGGGAGAGCGTGGGGAAATATTAAAAAAAGCGAAGTCGAAAAGTTGTCATACAGGGCCTCAATCTTAACCGGTAGACATATGGACAAAAGAATAACGTAATCGACATGATGAATATGGATACGACCGACACATTAAACGTTTCAAGGTTAGTCCTTGGAAAAGCCGACAGATTTAAGGTGGGAAAAATGAGGCTTATTTTGAAAACTATCAAGCCAAGATGTCAAAGGATACGAGGACAACCTGCCAATATCCGTTCTAGTTGCAATGTTACTGAAGAGAAGTCACAGAAGAAAACTGTAACGGAAGGGGAGCAGCTATACTGACTGTGACTACAGGTATTGGAAGGAGCCTGGTCATTAGCAAACCAAAATATCGCCTTTCGTTGGCTGCACGGAATCACTACAGAATTTCAAAAACCATGAAGACGACAGTCCACGGCTTCATATACGATTTCCCAGGTGGTTCAAAACAAAATGCAAAAAGATTAAAGCGTTTGGCACAGATTAATCTCTGAGGGATCTGCCACGACGCTTGGCCTCACCAAGCATTGTAGAGCTGTTGGAGTGCTTATCTGATCTATGAAATAAATAACGGCGGCCCACTGATGTACCAAGCTAGTGTTTTTATCTCCTTAAACAACAAGGATGATAGGCTTGAGTCCCCGTGATCGAACCAGCGAACGATTTAGTGTGTATTACAGGATACCTCTAACCACTGTGTTGCGCGCCCTCCCAAAGTGTGTATTAACAGCAATCGATAGAGAAGAATAGTTGGCAATTGGTCGAACGGGATTCAAGCAAACTTAAAAAAGATACATGGCCGCCAACCCGGTAGTCATATTAGTGATTAGAAAGCTCTGGATGTCTCTGATTATAAGGCATGGACGAATGCAAAATGTATTGGCGCCCATTGGAGGTTAGTCGTCACGCAACCGAAAACTGTAAGCAACTAAGAAAAGAAGTGTACTGCTAAGACCTAGCAGGCTAAAAAATAGAGCTTTTTAGCGTAAAAATTGGCTGGTAGGAAGGCGAAGGAAGTTTCTCGCTTGGTGGGGTAGATAGTGCGTGATACCCAAGTAAGGGTAGCCACAGATTCGAAGTCCAGCTCAGGTTTTGAACCACCCCTCTCCCCCCCATTAAAAAGAATAGCGAGTATATAAACTTGGACATTGTGATTTCAACGGCAGTTTCAGCTCAAGTTGTTTCAGTGCTAATTTGCTTTCGCCAGATCATTCTTGTCGACGGGTAATTGCTGATAACACTGTTAAGGCTAGGAGAAAGGCAAAGCAAGGGGTCTTGATTGGTCTGTGGGATGGTGGTGCACAGCACGTCAACCCCCTGAAAGGATAGTCGCGGGTTCGAAACTTAACAGAGGTTCCCAGTTTTGCTCATACCTCAGCACTATTGTCGTTCACATAAGGCCCTATCATGGAAAAGGAATGGGTAGTAGGTAAAAGTTAAACATTGTGATTTTTTTGTTTAGAGATGATTGTCCGATGCAGAATCGGTTTCAAAAACTGCATTCGGACTTCGCCGGGATTCACCTGGCTTGATCAGCAAGGCTGTCATCACGTTTGTTGTTGTTCACGACGACCATGTCAGGATTGAATATCTTCAGCATTTTGTCCAATGATGGAAGTTCCATTGATGACGACCGATGGTCGCATGAATCCAATATACCTGCAAGCAGCAGCTGCTCAGCTATTCCTCATTATATTGAAGAAAGCCTTTAACATCTATTGATCTCTTGAACTATCGATATCGAAGAAGCATTAGAATTGTAGTAAAACATATTTATTTCGGCTGTAAACAATACTGTAGCTTAGTGACTGTGCAGTACACTTCTAAAGAAGCTTAGCAGCAAAATTAAATTGTTTCGGGGCTTTCGTTAATTCGTACTAAATTACGAAACATGGTCTTTAGCATAAGTTATAATTAATGGTGGTTGGGGTCAAAAGCATGATAGTTAAAGATGTCGGGCAGTAAACACGTTGTTGCTTGTTCGACCCGTCCTCCGGCTAACCTAGCTTCCCGTCCTCTCACGGTCAGCAGATTTCTGTCATGACTGTCTAGGAAAATCTTGTCGTATCCAAAAATAAATGTGGAGCTGCCATTAAGAGAAAACTGATGCTCGAATAGGAGTTATCTGAGGTTTCGATTGATAATGAACTCGACGATCATTCAAAGCCACTCACAAGGAGGACAAAATCCTCAGTCAGAAGCTGAGCTCAACGCAATTCAAAGACTGGTGAACGAACGGAGTAAGGATACGAACAGAAAGGAAACTACCGGAAACCGCGATAATGCGTGAGATAAAATCAGATAGAAAGCCATGCAGATAAAATCAGTAATATTAACTTTCTGGTTTACTGCCTATTACTATTTTTCACGGCATGGTAACACAACCACTGGAAAGGGTAATAGCGCGTCCATTCCCCGCTCCAGACACCTGCGGTCCGGAGTTTTGCAAATATCTCAGCATCATTGTGGTTTTATCACAGAATTAATAATGGTTGGGGAAATCCTTGTTCTGTAAGATCTTTGCCCAAAGAAAATGGATAAAAATAACATGATTGAAACATGACATGTTTCTACCAAGTTTTCACAAAAGCTATTTAATTTCAACTTGAAGAGGGGGGAACGGTGAGAAAAACTCAACTCGCCGCTATAATTTCTTCTTATGAAGAATGATAGAAGAATTTTCTAACGATGCTAATAATTTTCTTTCCAAATGCCTCTTAATGCTTTGCTGAATTCCTAGTTTGTTGAATACTTGGAAGGCTTGGCTCCAATTGTCGTCCATACTTCACAGCATTTCTAACTCCCACTGATGTTTTGCTAATTAAGAAAAATTTTTTCTTCAAAATCTTATTATAAACGTTTGAGGGCGAAGTCACAGTCTCCGATTCTTGGGAGTGGCACATGTGTGTGATGAAGATCTGGGAACACCCTAGGACTGCTATCCCTTGAGATGAGGACAAACAGCATTCAACGATATTCATAAAGAAAACCAAAAATTGTTGGGGACAAACCAAATCCACAAATCCAAAGACTTTCGAGCATGTGAATGCCAGAAGACAAGCCAAACACGAGAAGTGCTGGCATCCCAGCATATATCAAATGCGAGAAGTGCTGGTATCCTCACATACGATCTCGAGTTGCGTGAAGTAAGAAGAAACAACAAAAAGTAGGAACGTCTGCGACCTGACGGCTGGATTTCCTCCCTACGGTAGAAATTTCTCAAGAGGTTTTCTCTTAACTGAACTTCCGAATGGAAATATCGAATTAATCCTCAGCTTAGGTTACACTACCAGATAATGAATTTTTGCTGTACACCACAGTTTTACATCCATGAGCACACGTCACAATAAAAGTTTTTATTGCTGCACATTTTTTGAAATGATCACTTCAGTTCGTTGAAAAAACACTTTCAATGCGAAGCATAATTGACGAAGGGTTCAAAGAGTAAATTGAAGAAGGAAACAAACGACAAAAACACGAAATGCAACCAAATAATCATTTTGACATGAATCACATCTAGTTATTATTTTAAGAAGCTTCTTAAATGAATAATATCTGACCTGCTTGCAAAAGTGTGAGGTTCGACCTGCAGTAAGTGGTCATGTGTCCGATGTCGGCGTAAATTGAAACCGACGTCGGTCTTAATGAATCTGCTGTATCCTCGGAATCCGTCGGCGGTACACGAATGCATGAGTTCAGCGACGACAGCGAGAGCGGATAGTCGATACTTTGCTGTTCTAGTTGGTTCGACTAAAATCAGTAGTATACAGGCTCACTTAAAATTTTAAAATTTATCGATTATATTAAAGGATAAAAGATGAAGCATCGGCGCTTCCCAATCCTTTATGAATGCGCCACGCACTATATCCAATTCGTACTATTCTAGAAGTGACTGACATATTTGGTCTGCACAAAGTCTTAACTCCGCGCTTTTGTCTTCGCTGCCAGCTTTTATACCAATTTGCCGACTCTGAAGGAATGGACAGCCTGCTTAGCCTTTGGAATCTAATCTAGGAGCTGGAGTCGAACCAGAGAATATGGATGTATTACAGGACACCCCTAAACAGTAGTTACCCACCGCAGAGACCTGCGGTCCGGAGTTTTGCAAATATTTCAGGATCATTACGTTGTATCACACATAATATTTTCCCCGCGAAAAATTGTAATAGGCAGTAAATAATAAGTTAAAATTGTGATTTTGCCCATAGCCTCAGCTTAACTTGGTTCGTTGCCGATTTGGGATACTTATATCAATCTCGTTGATAGGTGATTGCTGATGGCATTGATCAGCAGAACTAGCTGAAAGACAAGCGAAACGAAGGACCCGCATGGTGTGGTGGTGAACGCGTTAGTCCTCGGAAAGCGAAATAGCGCGTTAGTTCCCCACTGCAGAAACCTGCGGTTCGGAGCTTTGCAATCATCTCAACATCATTGTGGTTATTCTGAAAATGTTCCGGATTATTTCTTGTAGCCCTCCAGCAATCGCAAGCGGGCGGCCTTTGCATAAAATCATTTCACTTTCTATTGTCTACGACTTTTCAGCGTTTACTCAATAATTTCGTCCTTTCTGAACGTTCTTCACCTCTTTTTTTGAGATACTTTGGTAAACGTAGAAGGTTTGTTGGCAATGTACGAAGCTTCAACTACGTCCAACCTTTTCAACTATGCTATTGTATTGTCTGAAAAGCAATTTCATAGGACTCGACTTCAAACAAAACTATGCCAGTTCATAGAAATTTTTTTTACTTCAAACAAAGGTCATTCGAAAACCCAGCAAAAGTCTTCACTAAGAAGATGCAAATTTAATAAATCTGCGGCTGTAAATTTTCGGCTCCTCGTGGTCCACCGGTCTTCTGCTGGCACTTTCGGCAATGGAGGTCTTCGTTACTGAAGTTTTCCTACGTTAGCCATCGAAGAACATGAAAAAACTTGCGGTCGGCAACCTTAAGCTACGATGAGTAAAATAGATGGGATGGATTCTCTCCTCGTTTCTGTTCAAGTCCGTCAACGATCTGAACTTAAATATAGTCGCGCAATAGAATTGATAGCTATAGATTGAATAATTCCATTTGTAGACAATATGGTCCATCTTGCACTGCTTTGATTTTTCCCGGGTAATCCCTGGATTTGGATTTTTGCATGAAAATACTATTGACTAGTACCACGATTTCAATCACGTTGGTTCAACACTTTCCCTGTTTGGTTATGGAGGTATTTGGATGGGTAGATTGCTGTCAACTTGACCTTTCCGGGCTTTGAGGGAGGCAAAATCCGCCAAAACGTCACCTTCATCGCAGTAAAAACCGGAACAGTACATCGTGTTTGCTCAACAGGAATTTGAAGAATTATTTGATCAATGCCGAGGTTAATAGGAAGTCGGTGGGAATGACCAGTCAGCTACTTCATTCGAGTAACAATTATTTCCATAACCTTATCCTTCCTACAATTTTGCTTTTTTTACAATTGTTCTATTGCACCATCTCTTTCCAGAGCTGATTAGATCATCGTTAATTAACCGACAGAACCGCCAAATCGAGAAAACGATAATTTTTATTATATAAAAAGGTGTTCATTCAACCTATGCGATGCCAACATGCTGTCTTTTCTTGGACTCCTCAATTCCTTCCCGGTATTTCGAAACCATCGTTTCAGTAACGTCCGTCTTACGCTATGTTCTTCAACCGAATGACATAGATCAGTTCCAGTTGCTGTCTTCAACAAGTCATCGTAGTTTGCTGAACATATCTCCAACCGTATGCATCCTGATGGGCCTCGCCTCCGTTAGAAAACTTTTGGAACAAATGTTTTACCTTAGCAACGTTAACAGTTTCATAGCCGAGTGCACTGAAGAACTCCGATCCTTTCATCTGCTTTCCAGCTGTGTATGAGAAGTTGCAAAAAAAGGTATTCGAATTTGCCTTTTTGAACACTATTAGTCAGAAGAATCGGACGCATTTGGCGCAGTGGTCGGAGGCGCCCTGCAACACACATGTGGAATCGATGCTCGCACTCATGACCCACCAAGCCTTCCATCCCTCCAGGGTCGACAAATTGGTACCAGACTTGTCTGGGAGGAGAGCAGCACTGGCGCTATACTTCGATATGCCACCGCGAGTTATTGTAGGGTTAGATATACATCCGGTCACCTCCGTACGATGTTTAATGAAGTCGAATGCATGGCGCATCCCTCAGGGATTGATCAACGCCGAGAGCTTTAGAGCTTTTATTAGTCAGAATTAAACAGAACTTGATATGAATATAAAAACAATGGCATTCAAAAAACACAAAGAGAAGTCTGCACTTTCAAAATATGCATTACATAAGCAGAACTTTTTCTGAATACGAAGCACCAGATTACAAGATGAGCTGCCCGCAGTTAGATGCAGTCCAGTCATTACCTTCAACAAAACTAGTGATCTTATGCTAGTTTATTCCTTATTTGTCGCACTTACTTCTGAGAAAAATAGTGCGATGTAGCCGTTTTTTATTTACTGCTTTTTTCTTCTCTCTTCAGTTTAGCTAAGTTCAATATCGGTAAGTGTTCCCAGATCAACCCCGTTGACATATGGTTGCTAATAGCGCCCATAAAGCACATCTGAGAGAAAGGCGAAACGAAGGACCTGAAAGGTGGGGTGGTGAACATGTTATTCTCCGGAAAGGATAACAGCGGGTTCGATACCCACCGTAGACACCTGCAATTCGGAGATTTGCAAATATCTCAGCATCACTGTAAAATAAGCGCATTTATAAATAAATTTCTTAAAGTGAATCAACCAAAGGTTTTTTGAAACCACTTTTGATAAGGGCAACATTCAAAATTCTAAGGAATTTTATTAATAAAATTGCTTTGATTGCCGGTGGAAGTCACTTGAAGAAGATTTCAGAATGGAAGAAGTAAAAGAGGAAACAGATGAGGAAAGTAGCTGAAATAGAATGGAAAACAGTTGAGAAAATAAATGAAACCGTCTCGAAATTGAGACCGTTAACCGACCTGCAACGAAATGAGCTGCAACCAGCTCTCGTGGAATTCCGTATCGTTCATCAACTCGTGTTCAATTCGTAGAACGCCGTCGACAGCGTGAAGACGGAGCGGAATTAAGCAGAATAGGAGAAGAATGTTAAGCATAGCTCGGTCGTCATGTGCATGTCATTGATATGTCGATAATTTCTAGTCCAGAGAAATTTCTGGAATTCGAATTCTGTTTCATGAATTAAGAGAATTGGAAATCTGAAGTGAGTTTCCATGATCAGGAGAAATAACAAGAAGGTCACTGGAGCAACAAACTTGGGAAAAGAGCAATGTGGAACAAAAAAAAGCTTGAGGGATGCACACGTTGTAGCGGGAAGGTAAAAGCTTCAGATTATTCTTTTGTCCTAATTATTTCAGGATCAATTCATCGTCACGAAGATTCTGTAGGAATTTCAGCGAACGGCGATGAGAAGTTCGGTTAAACGTTAAAGCTGTGGAAATAATCATTGTGAACAGGAGTTTGCCAGTGGGGCACCTCAAATCTTATCTCTATCTATTTTACATAACCCGACGTCACACATCGCATCGTGTCGGTTCCAGCCCTTCTTCCTTTCGATTCGTTTCATTTTATCCGCCATCCACGATGTTCTTCGGGTGGGCGTACACAAGGCTGCGGCGTGAGGATTTTGGTCCTTTCCAAGAATGTTATTGAATTCTAGTAGAATAAATTCTTTTCAAAGTACTGTGCTAGTCGTGCTTCGGCTTCACCGGGGTAATCATCTACTTTTGTGGTTTGGAAGCAGCTTTCAAAACAAGTCTAATACTGATTTCTCGAGCCCGGTGGGAGGAGAGGCTTGGGTACCTTGAAAAATCCTTTTAGATGAAACTCATATATTCTCTAAAAGCTCAATAAGCTCTTAAAAAATGTAAATTCTTTTTAGCATACGGGTAAGTTTGCTTCAAATTTCGGGTCGTCACATTTTCATCTTCATGAAGCGACAGACCTACTATGAATATTAACGACGTTGCCATCAGCACCACTTTACGACCGCATCCAGGAAATTGCTTACAATAACGGTAATTGAATCAATCACTTGGATTAGTTCACGTATCAAAATCACCTTCATTTCCTGAGAAAGTTGCAAAATAGAAAAAGGAGAAGCTTAGTGAGTTTAAGGAAAAAGAAGAACTTTAGAATCTATGAAGTTTAAATAAATCACTGGTTTCGTGCAATAAAACGTATAATGGATTAACAGTTCGAATTTTATCAATCTCTTAAGAGTGAGTCACGCATTCCACTCCATTCGTATCATTGTAGAGGTGATTGAATGCGTTGTTTTCCTTTGCAATAGCTTACAGGAAACCACTGATCTTTCAATTCAACGGTTTTTCATCTTCTCAGACAAGCCGGATAGAATTTTTCCGACCCCAATGGGATGGAGTGCTTCGCTTCCCATGGTCCTAAAGATTCAGCAATCGAACCAAAGGTTCTGCGTGTACGGAGCCTCCTTAACGTATGCGCTGCAGACACCATTTGTTGAAATGATAAAATAAAATGACTGCAGTGTAGAAAAAAGGTGTCGTATCTGTTATTCAGATGAAGTAATTGGGGAGAAAGTGGAGAGGAGCCCATAGAGTGCGAACAAACGAATTTTTCCAACTAAGAGCGTCAGTCACTACTGCCCTTCTACTTCAAATGCTACGCTTTTACATAATATAACGCGCGTGTGGCGCAGTGGTAGAAATGTTATGCCTTACTGAAAAGCTTTTACGGTATTTGTAAATTTTCACCCTTTTCACCAAAGGGACTTGACTTTTCCCTTTTCCTAAAATTAGCTAAGCCTCGACTAAACTTGGTAAACTTTTTTTTTTGAAGGGAAAGCTTTGCTTCTCATTAGAATTTCATTCTTGTGCTCACTTACTAACAACTACTGGTAATGGTTAAGAAAAACTAAGACGTGTATATCTTACATGGAAAATACATTGAAGATAAGGCCACAGTTGAAGAAAACTATTGCGAAAGTAGTCTGAAATAAACTGCTTATGAGGTTTTGATGGATTGGTGGTTGAGATGTGTTGCAGCAGCCACCGCCTCCAAGAGAATGATCAGTAGGCGCTCCCATGCCCACCCACCTATGCAAGGTCCATTCTCATTGTTTGCTATAGTCTCTGAAACACTTGACACCGAACACATTACGGTAAATATATGAAATGGGTTAATAACAAGAAGGTTGGGCTGGTGTGCCGCAGTGGTTAAAGGTGTTTCGTAACACACAATCGGTCCTTGGTTCGATTCCGGGATCAGCGTTAACTTGGCCCGCTACCACTCCTAAGCCGGCAAGACTTGGCTGGGAGGACAAAACCACCAAACTAATGCATTGTCAAGACTCCGAAAATAGTTGTATAGGCTTAATAAGCACTCAATCACCTGCATTACTCTACGTATGCAGCTGAGTACACGGCATGATCAGCGATGAAATCCTTATCGTTTTTTACTTTCTTAGTGATAAATGTGCTTATTTCGCATATGAACTTAACATA